TTCTTGCAGTATGCTATTCCTATGCCTATATCTTGTTGCACCCAAATTACCAATAATATTTTCGCTTTAAATATAAGAGTAAATAATTAATTAAGAAATATATTTTGAGGAAAAAGGAATGTAAAAAAAAATTGCAAAATTTGTTAGTATTTTAGTTTGTTTTTGAAGGAGTATGTAAACAAATTGATTATTTTTTAGTTGAGTAGTAAGTAATTAAGTAAGTAAATAAATAGAAAAATAAGTATCTATGTAAATATATAAGTAATCTAATAAATAAATATGTAAATAACTAACGAAGTGATTTAATTTGCTAATCACTCAGTGAAAAGCATAAGTTAACTAAATAATAAATTTCTTCTTTATTTGTTGATTTTGTCAATAAATAAATTATGTTTTTACCTGATATTCCTGCACTATGCTATTCCTATGCTTAAATCTCTTGCACTCTCATCACAAATACAATTATTGCTTTAAATATAAGAATTTAGTATGAATTAAGAAATAAATTTGGATGAAAAAGGACTATAAAAAAAGATTGCTGCTTTAATTAGTATTTTAGTTTGTTTTTGAAGGAGTAAGTTAACAAATTTAATATTTTTTAGTTGAATCAATAGTAAATATATAAATCAGTATCTATGTCAGTATATAAGTTAAAAATAAATAAATAAAAAACTAAATAACTAACAAAGTGACTTAACTAGCTAATCACTAATTGAAAAGCATAAATCAACAAATTAATTTTTTTCTGTATTTCTTAAATTTTCAATTAATAAATTAAGTTTTTACTATTAATAAAGTGTCAAACTTGTGATATTCTTGCACTACGCTATTTCCATGCCTAAATCTTTTACACCCTCATCACCAATACTATTATTGCTTTAAAAATTAGAATAAATAATGAATTAAAAAATAAATTTGGAGGAAAAACGACTGTAAATAAATAAGTAATCTAATAAATAAATTAATAAATATATAACTAACTAATGAAGTGACTTAATTAGCTAATTACTAAGTGAATAACATAAATTAACTAAATAATCAATTTTTTCTTTATTTCTTGAGTTGTCAATTAATAAATTAAGTTTTTACCTTAAATCATATTCTTGCACTACTCTATTCCTATGCCTAAATGTTTGGCTCCCTCATCACCAATACTATTATTCCTTTAAATATAAAAATAAATAATGAATTGAGAAATAAATTTGGAGGAAAAAGGACTGTAAAAGATTATTTTTTAGTTGAGTAGTAATTACGTAAATAAATACCTATGTAAGTAAGTAAGCAATCTAATAAAAAACAAATAAATTTATAGTTAACAAACTAACTAATTAACGAAGGACTTAATTAGCTAATCACTATGTGAAAAGCATAAATCAACAAAATATAGCTATTTTTAGAAAATTATTTCTTGAGTTAGAAATATAGAATTAGTAGAATAATAAATAATATTAAATTTTATATTAAAAAAATTAAAATAAATATAAAAAAGGTTTTGAAACAGGTTTCGAACCTGAACTACTAAAATAAATAAAAAATGTTTAAATAAACTATTTTTTTATTTATTTTTCATATATCAAGCCTTGAAAAAGGCAGTATTTTAAGGTACTGTATATAATATTTAAAGTTAAAAAAACTTTTTCCAAAATATTTTATATTGATTTATTCAAATATTTTAATTTATTCATCCTTTTTTTACCACTTATTTATCATCAAAAAACAAAGACTACTAATCTTTTTGATTTAAGGCAATTGTTTTTTACTTTGAATTTTTATGATTCATTCATAAAGTAAGCTCTTTTATTATAATTTTAAATAAATATTAAATAAAAATAAATTTTTA